GAGCCCACAGCTTTATCTGGAGCAGAGAGGATTTGCTTTAGGCTATCAGCCTGCTTGGCCAGCCCACAGCTTCCACAGCCATCTTCAGCACTGCGGGCATCTCTCCAGCCATTGAGGCTCCCCTGTTTTTCCTTTTGTAGCTCTCTGCTTGACACGTTGGCATCCTGTGAGATGACGGATGAGGATGGGGCTCCTCAGCTGAGCCCCTGAAAGCTGGATAAGCGTCTCCCCACGGTCACCACCAGCACCCAACTGTTGACTGTTCTGCAGTCAGATCTTTGCTGGACCCAGAGATCCATGGGCTGCTGGGGGACTCAGCCGTTCCCAGGTGATCCCCCTGCTGCTCCCTGACCCCATGGGAGGAATGCTTCCCGTTAGCAGTCTCTGATAAGAGGCAGGAAGGAGAATTACTCTCCGTGTTGGGCAGTTTGTTAGAAGTTTTCACACTTAACATATCACCGCTATCAGCTCCCTGAAATGCACAGGAGAGGAGTGCAAAGGCGGCTGTTTAGATAAAGACAATCTGCAGAAGGGCTATTTTGGGCATATTTCCATCCAGCGGGAATGTCTGCGCACAGGAGGGGCTGACAGCCCAGCACTGCCATCTGACAGCATCCCTCCAGTCAGCCTGGGGCTGCAAGGCTCCCTCCAAAGCAAATGCCTGCTCTGCAAAGCACTTCTTCACCAAAAAGCCTTTGGGAACAGATGTGAAGTTGCTGCTGCTCGCTGTGGCAAAAGATGTGGGCAGCAAGAGGGCCTGAGCACTGTGCTTCCAGTGCATGCAAGAAATGAATATCCAAAATGATTATCAGGACTGAGAATGTATCTGGAAGAAACACGACTTGATCAGTCAGGCCAGAATTTGCAAGCAGATTTCTGGGAAGTTCCCATTCAGGCACGGACAGCAAGATCACCTGGAGGTGGGGAGAACTGGAGGGTTTTATTTGTTCACTGTGATTTTCCCAGCTCTGAGGTTCTAGGGACCTGCACGGCCTCTGAAAGACCCAGCATCTATTTAGCAGCAGGAGTTGTACAGAATGCTGCAAACATCACAGGAGGGTGTGAGCTGACTTCAGTGAAGATGCTTGAAGTTTTGGCAATGAATTTCAAAAAGAGAGAAAAGAGCCTCTTGCCCCAGTCATCTGAACATTTAATAACACCTCAACTTCAGCTGGCTGCAAGGACAGGTCCTGGCACACAGCAGCTGTTAGAAATCAGGTCCACGAGCTGCCTTAGTCGTGATTTCCAACACATTTCTGCGCACTGTGGGACAGGACACATGCTGAGCCCACAGCACCCAGCTGCTCAGCCCTTGCTCTCTCCACTCCTCACACATCTTCATTGCTCCATGGGGAAGCTCCATCAGAGCCGTGCTGAGGAGACAGCTGATAGAATTAAGCGTGCTGCACTGAGATGTGCTGCATGGCCTCAGCATTTGTTTCCCTGGCTTTGCAGAAGCTGTGGCTCTGCTCTCCTAGCCCATCAGCCCAGTTTTCTGCTTGCTGCATGCTCAGGCACTGCTTAGTTCTTTCCCCCCTTACTGTGCTTGGTCAGCAAGCCCCCTGCTTGATCCAACTCAGCTCATCTTATGACAAGGGACGATTGCTCAAGACAAAGTGGCAACAACTACAGGAGTTTTTCATGGGACCTGGTAGGCTTGGCTCTTCCTTAAGACTGGCTGCCATCTGGAAGGGAGTGATATTCCTGCATGTCCCCGTGCTGTGGCAGACCTCCCTACATCAGTGTGGCCCATTAGATGGTCACAGCAAGAAAGTGGCTCACTCCAGGCTGCCAAGCAGGCTGTGACCTGGTGAAAGCAGAAGGAGATTGTGGTGACCAGGCACAACTTCTCCTTCTTGGCCAAGGAAGCAGATCCTTCACATCTGCTGGTGTCCCAGACCCACACAAAAGGATGTGGCAGGGTCTTGCCCAGTCCTGTGTTGAGAACATACACTCACAGCATCTTGGCTGAGTCACAGAAGACCCAGAAATGTCTGGTGGTACCTCTCAGCTTCTGCTCAGTATCCACAGCATTTTGAGGGGCTGCTGCTCTCCCCCACAGTTGGTGCACGCTGCTCCATCCAGGGATCCAAGCTGAGCATTTAATTCTCCAGATTGGTGTGTATGCCCAATTCCAGGTTTCCAGTCTGGATGCACCCTGTTAGGGCAGCAGCTTGCTGAAAGCAGCTTTCCCTTACAAGTCCCCTGGGACCAGGAAAGTCCTGTCCCCACGGCCTTTTGGACTTTAGGGCTACCCTGAGCAACCTGGTGCAGCAGCAGAGTTGGACACAGCCTGAACTGTCACCTGTTTGTTGGCTGCTGAGTGAAATAAACCTCCCAAAAAGCACCGCAAAGGGCAGATCCTGGTGCTGCAGGGACCACAGGTCAATGGGTCCACTAAGAAGGAGTGGTGAGGCATTGGCACAGGCTGCCCAGGGAAGCGGTGGAGTCACTGTAGCTGGAGGTTTTCAAGAAAATGGTAGATGTGGCACTTGGGGACACGGTTTGGAGGGTGTGGTGATGGTGGATTGGTTAGATTAGATCTTAGTGGTCTTTTTCAACCTTGGTGATTCCACGATTCTATTCCACAATCCTATACGTGGCCAGTGTGGTGGCTGCTGGCGAGCCATGGAAAAGGCGATGAGCATCAGGGGCCGTGGTCCAGGGCAGGCTGCTGGGAGGCATGTGTGCACATCCCCATCCTGGAGCTTGTGCTCCACTCGGGGAAGTGACAGCACAGCCAACCTCAGGTGGAAGGTGATGGTTTGGTTTTCTGGGTCCCACTGGATCACCCGGTTCAGTGCTATTTCTGCTTCGCTCCATGGCTGCTCCATGGCACAGAAAGGCCTGGTGGAAGAGCTAAGGAAGTGAAATTACTTTGGGGAAGAAATGACACTACTCACTTATAAATAACTCGGGTTTCATTGATCTTTTAGATGCTCCCTTGGCAGAGAGTCCAATGTCATCGCTCCAGTCATGCAGACAATACTTGGGTATTGTTTTATTCTCAGTTACAGGGAAAAGGACAGCACCAGCTGCCTGGCTAAAGATAGCCCATGAGAGCACCCCTCAATTGTTCTGCACTTCAAACAATAGGCACACGTGTGGAGGGTTTAAGATTGCTGGCCTTAGCAGAGCATTTCACATTGAAATGCAGCCTCGGAAACAATAGATTTCTTTCATGCCCTTGCTCAAGCTGGTATTCCTATGACGGAGAAGCCAGGGTGCAGGAGCTCTGCCTTGTTTTCCTCCAGCAGGATGGGCCAGCGAGGGGGCTGGACTCCCTGGGGAGCCCTGCGAGCTCCATCCACAAAAATAGCCCTATTGTTCTGCCTCTATTTGGCTGGTGTGGAACATCACATCATCCTCTCCGCTCGCAGAGTCAAACCAGTGGCTCTCTTACTACTCCATTGCAACATGCGTTTCAGCACCGGCATGCAAACATCTCAAGATACAACGGCGTTGGCCCAAACCCCATGAGTTGGTTTTTCTCTGCAGCTGGAACTGCAGCAAGGCAGAACGAGGGGATTTTTTTTTAACGGGGTACCAGGGGAAGCGAGCACAGAGGATGAGCCCTGCTTGGAAGGCAGCAGCTCGGTGAGCACCAGCAGCTGCATCGTATCAAATGCCTGCATACCTCAGCAGCACGGCCGGCTCATGGCCGCCTGCTCCCTGCCCACCCTGCAGTGCTTGCCTCCCAAGCACCTGGGCACGCTGCGGGCATCACAGGCTCGGTATGGGGCTGCTGGGGATGGACCCTCCTCTGAGGGGAACAAGAAAAGCAGCATTGGCTCAGAGCCATTTATACCCTCAAGCTGATTTGTATTGAGTTTCACTTGTCTGCTCCCTGGGCAGCCTTTGAGAGCAGACACAGCACCCTAGAGCCACGAAGCTCATCTTGGAAGGCTCTGATAAAGCCAGAGGAGAGGTTTACAAACACAAAGCGCTTTTCTTTTAAACTTTGCAGGGCTCTATTTTTAGCTAATAAAGATAACATCCCAGTTGCTGTTGTTCATCTTTTGTTGCATGGAACATGCCAAATACTTACCATGTCTGCCATGTTTTTTTTATCATTTAACCTTCTCCAAGCTGCACTGCGGCTCCCTCGCGCTGCAGCAGAGATTATGGGCTATCTGCATGTGCTCTTCATAGCATGGCTTAGGTTGGTGCGGACTTAAAGATCATCCAGTTCCAGCCCCCTGCCACAGGCAGGGCTGCCAACCACCAGATCAGGCTGCCCAGGATCACATCCAACCTGGCTCTGCATGCCTCCAGAGATGGGGCATCCACAACCTCCTGGGCAACTCATTCTGGATCCGCCCTGGGTTAGTTAGGAAAGATCTCATTCTCCAGACTGAATTTGGAAAAAGGGAACAGAAGGCAAGGCAGAGCTCCATACAAAAAGAGCTTTCCCAGCCTGAGCAGGCTGTGTTCATTCTGGGCGCTGTGAAGACAGGGCAGCACCTTTCCCGACTCTCCTGAAATGAAACTGGACTGCGTTTTGCAGTGCTTTGATTAGGAACTGCAGCCTGCCATGTCCTTCCTTTACTCTCACAGCAAGCAGGGAGCAGAACAGACTCTGGGCCCTGCCAGGAGAACTGAGCGGACAACGCTACTGCCTGCATGCACCCAACATGTCCTGCACCCATCCCGTTCTATAGCCCACATGTCCTACGCCCAGTGCTTCCCCCCGCCGTGCCCTACACCCAGCACGTCCTATACCCAACGCATCCTACACACAGTGCATCTTAAGCCCAACAAGTCCTGCACCCAGCGTGCCCTACACCCAGCACGTCCTGCACCCAACGCACACCCACAGTCCACACCAGCCGGACCCAAAGACGCTGCCTCGTCCCCTCCCCCCCCCCCCCCCCCCCATACTAAGTACGCATGCGCGCCCTAAGCCCCGCCCTCCTCCCTGGCTTCTTTGTTCCACGCTGATAGGTCGGTGGCGCTGCCAATCGGCTGGCTCTTAGGGGCGGGGCCAGACTATTGTCCAATCGCCGTGAAGAAGGTGGGGCAGCCCGGGAGCGCAGGAAGCAGGTACGGGTTGGGTGTGCGGCGTGCGGGCTGTAGGGGGCTGTGGGGGGTGTGGGGTGCAAGGGGCATGGTGTACAAGGGGGGACTGGGATGCTATGGGGTTCAGGGGTCTGGAGGGCTATAGGGGGCTGTGGGACGTAGGGTGGCTGTGGTGTTCAGGGGTTTATGGGGGCTGGATGCAAGTTATGGGGTTCAGAGGCTGTCAGCCAAGGCATGGTGTCCATGGGGAGATGTGGGGTGCTGGGTACCACCAGTGGGGCCGTGGCAGGCTCTGCCACTCCTCACCCCCATCTTGGGCTGCTCAGTGGCTGTGAGTGACCCCGTGGTGCCGCAGCATGGCAGGGCCGTGGGATGTGGTGCTGCGGGATGAGGCAGCCCTGAGGCAGGCAGCAGTGGTGGCGGTAGATGCGGCGCTGCTGGAGGGCGTGCTGATGCGCACCGAAGCTGAGCCCAACGCCTCCGAGGTAAGTGTAGTCCCCCATGGCCCCACAGAGCCGCACAGCCCCGCACCAAGGCACTGCTGTTGTGCCCCTGCAGGTGGTGAGCTATGCACCCTTCACACTGCTGCCCTCGGCCGTGCCCCGTGCCCTGTTTGAGCAGGCCTATGCTGTACAGCGGGACTTCAACCTGCTGGTGGATGCCATCAGCCGGGACAAGGGGTTCCTGGAGCGCACCCTGGCCAGGTAACGTGTTGCAGTTTGCATTTAGTGGAATGCAGAATTGTGGATTCGTTGAAGGGAGTCATTAAGGTTGGTGAACACCTCAAAGATTGTCTAGTCCAACCATCAACCACCATGCCCACCAACCCACATTTCTCAGTGCCACATCTTCACATCTGCAGAACAGTCACTCCACCACCTCCCTGGGCAGCTGTGCCACTGCATCCTTGCTCTTTCAGAGAGGATATTTCTCCTAATATCCAACCTAAATGTTAAGTACGAATCATGTATCATCTTTGCAGGAATTCTCTTCTTTCCTGGCTTTTTGTCCTAATGTTCATTTCCATCAAGTCTCTGCGATTTGAGGTCTCCCTGGGCCAGCAGTTGTCTGCTGGCAGCGACTTCTGCCTCACCAGTACCTGAGCTTTGTGGCTTCTCATGTCACTGGCACTGAGGCTGTGAATTCAAGTAGCTGGAGGCTTCCTCAAGTCCTGCCTGTGGCAGCCTGCTTTGGTCTTGTCTGCACTTGTTGGCAGCTGGCTGCTTGCTGCCGAAGCCTTAAGTTGCCTTACGTTGTGTCATGGGAAGTTCAGGTTGGAGATCAGGAGAAGTTTTTTCTCAGAAAGAACAGTTATGCATTGGAACAAAGAGGAGTTGGTACAGTCACTGTCCCTGGAGGTGTCCAAGTAATGTGGAGGTATGGCACTGACATGGGTAGTGAGCATGGTGGGATGGGTTGGGATTGGAGTGGATGATCTTAGAGGTCTTTTGCAACCTTAGTGATTCTGTGAAGAGCTGAGCACTGCAGCACACAAAACTCAGACATCCAGCAGGACAGGCATCTGGTGCAGCCCTGAGCTGTGTGTGCAGGCATGGGGATGCCTCTGGGTCCTTCCCTGTACCTGCAGAACTCTGTCATGTTCCTTTGCTTTTGCTCCGTGCTGTCTCTGCCCCACATCCCCACACACACTGCACCAGGAATATCCCCAGCAGGGATTCTTAGTGCCTCTGTAGTGTTGTGAGAGGACTGACCTGGTCCTGCTGTCCCTCCAGCACTATCAAGGTGGATGACTTCACGGCACGGCTCTTCAGGATCCACCAGCAGGTTCTGGAGGAAGGGCTGGCACAGGTAGGCTGCAGCAGGGTGGGTGGGCTGCCACAGGTCCCAGCCCTCTGTGGGTGCAGCTGGGGAGAGGTGCATGGAGCCCCTCAGATGGCTGTGGGGTCGCTGCTAAGCAGTGTTGTACAGAGCCAAGGCCATTCACAGCAAGGAGCCCAAGGAGCTGGGAGGGAAGGGAATAAGGACAGCTGACTTCAACTGGCTAAAGGGATATTCCATGTCATATGACATCATGTGGAGGGAGTTTTCAAGGGAGTGGGAGTTCATTTCACTCTCATTCACTTGCTGGAGGCTAGCTGGGCATCAGTTGGGGGATGCTGAGCAATTGTTTGTTCATCACTTGTTATATACATTATATGTAGTCATAGTTATTTATGCTTTTCCTTGTTCTCTTAGTAGATGGTTTTATCTCAACCCATGAGTTCTGTTTTGCTTTGATTCTCTCCCCTATCGCACTGGGAATGGAGCGAGCGAGCGGCTGCGTGGTGCTGAGCCACCTGCTGGGGGATGCGGGGCCGCACCTCACTCCCTCCCCTCCGCCTCAGTCTGTGTTTCTAGGCATCAACCGCTCTGACTACATGTTTGACTGCGGGGCAGCCAGCCTGCCGGCGCTGAAGCAGATTGAGATCAACACCATCGCTGCCAGCTTCGGTGGCCTCGCCTCCCGCACCGCTGCCGTGCACGGGTATGGAGCAGCTGCGGCCCAGCCTGTGCCCCAGCACAGAGCCGTGGTGCCTGGGGCCGGGTCTGGAGCCGCTCCTGTCGTGCAGGCGGGTGCTCAGAGTGCTGAGGAAGCCTGAGGAGGCGGCGAGGTTGCTGCCCAATGACCCTGCCCAGGGGCTGGCCATGGGCATCGCCAAGGCCTGGGAGCTGTACGGCTCGCCGAGGTGAGTGCTGCCAGCTCCTGCAGCTGCACATACTTAGTTTACAGCTGTAGTTCTCAGACAGTGCTGTTGGTTTAATGACCCCGATAGGGCCCAGCGTCTTCCTGCCTTTCCCCTTCGTGTGTGTGCCCAGCACATGGTGGTGTCACAGGGCCGGTCCTGCTCTCTGTGCCAGGCCACAGAACTGCTGCAGGACGCTCACGGGAGCTGTGCAGGCAGCCTGGATCACAGAGATCAGTGGTGGGTGAGGCTGGTGTGTGATCTCTTGAGTTAATGGTGCCCTGTGTATCTCTTGCAGTGCTGTGGTGATGTTCCTGGTGGAGAAGGCCCAAAGGAATATTTTTGATCAGCGATGCGTGGAAAACAAGCTTTGGGACAGGTAAAGCAGAGTCTGCTTCTCAGTTGGCCATGTGTGCAAGGTTAAAGTTAAAACATGTCACGGGTTCCTGGCCTGTTGGAGGGCATGCTGTGGTGTGCAGTGGGACTGTCCTTACCTTGGACTTCTCCCTGAGGTCTCTCAGCTTTCCTTTGCCAGCATCCTGCTCCAGCAGCATCAAAGCCACTGCTCTCCAGGAGTGGTTCCTTGCCAGTTCCTTGATGTACCCATGGGTCCTCAGAGCTGCTCCAGGGTGGCTTTGCTGCAGGCCGAGGCAATAAGGAGCAGAGCAGGGATACCAGTGGTCCTGTTTGCTTTCTAACTTGGGATTGGGCAGAGGGTCTTCAGTAAAAGCTTAATTATTAAAGCTTCAGCCCCACTGGGAAGGGCTCTACAGATCTGTGGGGCTCTGGAGAAAGTGAGGTCAGAGGAGGCTGAGCCCCAGGGCTGAGCATGGTTGGGGGAAGAGCCACGGCTCCACTGGGGACTTTGCAGGGCCACAGTGCCACTGTGTGGGGAGGAACGACAGAGCTGAAGGGAGGAGGTTCCCCAGGAAGCACTGGCTGGAAAGTCAGCAGTGAGCCTGTCCTGCATGGGATGACAGAGCAGAATGATCGCTGGCTTCTTAGAAAAGCTTTAGGAAGGGCAAAGTGAGTGTGGAAGAATGCGGGGTGTTCAGCACGCGCTGCTTCCTGCAGCGTTTGAGCTGGGTGCTGGAAATGGAGCTGTTCTGTGAGCTGTGCCTGCCTCTTGTGACTGCCCTGCTCCTCCTGCAGGAACATTCGGGTCATCAGGAGGCGGTTCCAGGACGTGTATGAGCAGGGCTCCCTGGATGACTCCCGCAGGCTCTATGTGTGAGTAGGAGCAAGGTGCGCGCTCTGGCTCTGCGCTGGGCACGCAGCTCTCAGCTGAAGTTGCTGGAATGGTTTTGAGTGTAAATAGTGGCTTTCTGGGAGTGCAGGTCTCTTCTGTGCCTCAGGCTGCTGCTGCTTCCTGTAGGGATTATGATTGTTTTCATGATGGTGGGACTTTGCATACACACGTCAAGTCTTTTGCAGCTAGAAGCCCTATTTCTCTCTCCCAAACCACAGCCTCTGTGCTCTACAGGGTCCTTTCTTCCTCCATGCACATCTGCAGCACACCCAGGCTGTTTCTGAGGTTTGCACTGACACATTTCCTGTTGACCCTTCACTTGATGCTTTGCCTGGGTCTGAGTTACCCATGCTGGAGGAGGAAGCACCGCACCTGTGATGGGCACTGAGCATGCTCTGCGTCTCACCCACACAGGGAGCTGATGCCAAGTGTGATGTTTGTCCTATCTCCAGGCTAACATGCTTGGAGCTGCACGAGCCCAGAGGAAGCTGTGGTTGCATGCCAATGTTTTTTCTGTTGTTAGGCAGATTTTTTCCATGCTTTGACCTTTGGGGCATCCTCCACGTTTAATTAATGAATGCACTTGTCAGCGCCAGGCGGTTAAGGGAAAAGTATTGCAGTGCTTCCTCTGGAGCATCTTCCCCTTTCCATGAGTGCTGTCACATGGCAGTGGCCGTGCTGGGCTGTGTGGCTGAGGTTGGGGTGCATGGTACCATGATGCTGGCAGCTGTGCCCTGCCCTGAATCACCCTCAGATAAGGATCCTGGTCCCTCCCAGCCATAAGAATGTGAGGCTGCTGAACAATGAGCTCCTCACCTCCCTCTGGGCTGGGTGCCTGACTTATGGAGGCTGTGCTTAGAGCAGGGCTTCCCATATCCCCTCCCTTCTTGAGGAGCTCAGGAGGCGAAGCAGAAAGGGCAAACCCTATCACAGAAAGGGCAAACCCCATCACACGCTGCCTGTCTGGGCCTGTCAGCCCTACGTGCTGGGCTTTGCGTGGAGGAGCTGCTGGCTCTGATGGCTGCTGCTTTCTGTTCCAGGGACGGCCAGGAGGTAGCAGTGGTGTACTACAGAGAGGGCTACGTGCCGAGCAACTACGATCAGCAGGTCAGCACCCACTGCTTGCTCCTAGAAGCTGTGGCAGGGGTTTGGAACATCCCACAGTCCTGTCCTGGGTGGGGTTAGTCCTGCCTGGGTGGTGTTGGGATGCTGCCTGTCCCCACTGCTCGTGTGGTGCTCCTGTGGTATAGAAAGCAGGTGGCTTCTTTCTGTAACCACCATTCCTGTGGGCAGCTCCTGTCTGCAGCACTGAATCGCTGCTGAGCAGTGCAGGTTAATGCAGATTAGCACATACTTAAAGGCTTGAACTACAAACCTTTTCCTGCCCTCAGTTATGCGTTAGGACTGCTAGTAGCAGGTGAGAACAATACAGAACAGCTCTTGGCTGCTGTCTGGAAAGCAGCAGGGTACAGGGGGAGGTGGCAGAGCAGCCTGGTGTGCAGCTCCCAGGGGCTGTGGCAGATCCGTGGGTGCAGCTCTGCTGGGATCAGAGTGCTGTCCCCATCCCGGCAGGCAGTGATCTCACAGGGAGGGCTAAGCGGAAACAAGAGGAGGAAGCCTGGCTGTGCTGATGGGCTGATTGCTCTCCCCCTGTCTCAGAACTGGGAGGCACGGCTGCTGCTGGAGAGGTCGCGGGCAGTGAAGTGCCCTGACATTGCCACGCAGCTGGCTGGCACCAAGAAGGTGCAGCAAGAGCTGAGCCGCCCGGGGATGCTGGAGAAGCTGCTGCCTGGCCACGCTGAGGCTGTCAAACGCATCAGAGCAACATTTGCTGGGCTGTACTCGCTGGATATGGTGAGTGGGATTGGAATGAGGGTGAAGAAGAGACACGTGCTTGGCCTGCATGATGTAATTCCTTGGTTCAGAAACATCAGTATGTTTTGCTGGCCTCGGGCCTCTAGTAGTCATGCTCAGAGAGGACTCTGGAGGAGCTCCTGCTCCTTGCTGATCCTTTGCTGCTAATGTCTTTCTTCCAGGGTGAAGAGGGTGACCGGATTGCTGCCACAGCTATCGCCAGCCCTGAGCGGTTTGTGCTGAAACCACAGCGAGAAGGAGGAGGTACGAGCTGGAGTGGGTTCCCCTGGGTTTTGGTGTGGTTCACGCTGTCCAGTGTGATGTGTCCTGCGATGGCTTCTGGTCCTCATCAGAGGGGTGAGAGGCAGGGTGGAGTGGCTTTGTGCCCACAGGGATGAATCACAGCGGTGAGGGAGCACTGCTCCTGCTGAGCTCCAGGTTCCACCCTCAGGGAACAACCTGTATGGTGAGGAGCTCAAGCAGGTCCTGGAGAAGATCAAAGACAGCCCTGAGAGAACCTCCTACATCCTGATGGACAAGATTGAGCCGCAGCCAGCAGTGAATTATTTGCTGAGGGCACACAGTCCCCTAAAGGCCTCCAAGTGCATCTCAGAGCTTGGTATTTTTGGTGTCTATGTCAGGTGAGTATCACGCAGTATGGAGTGGTTCCTATCCCTGCTCCTCTCTCAGAGGAACATCTCAGCAGCAGGGCAGATGTTCCAGGATGGAGGGATAGGGACAGCTGGTGTTGGGTGGGATATGTGACCAGCAGCAGCTTTCCAAACCCCAAAGTTGGGATGTTCCTTTCCCAGTTGCTGGAGGAACCTCCCAGCATCTACACACAGCCTCACTCAGAAAGAGCTGAAGGTGGAAGAGGTTGTGCTCAACCCTAAGTAGCTGCTGCTTTTGTTTAAAGCCCTTTATAAGAGGATCCACAGAAACACTTCCATAGCTTATAGATTGAAGCCCTCCTACAACTTTTAGCAACAACTGCACTCTGGCAGCATTCACAGCCCAGCATTGCTCCCTTGCAGAGCATTACAGCCACCATAGCCCAGCCAAAGAAGGGCAGCATCGCCAGGAGGAGCTTAGATTGTTGCAGATGGGAGAAATGCTGTGGGCTTCCTGCTCCACCATGCTTCCCCTCTGCCTTCTCTTTGCAGGCAGGGCAAAGAGCTGGTGCTGAATGAGGCCGCTGGGCACCTGTTGCGGACGAAGGCAGTGGAACACGCAGACGGCGGGGTGGCAGCCGGGGTGGCAGTGCTGGACACCCCCTACCTGGTGTGAGCTTCTCGTGCAGTGCCCACAGGGCTGGGCTGCCACAGGGCTGCTTCCCTCAGGGTGCACCTAGTGAGGTGGGAAGGGCTGGAGACAGCCAAAGGTTTTGCACTGGTTTGAAATGTGCTCTTGGAGGTTGCTGCGGCACTGGAGGGGACCCTGCTCAGTGCCAGTCCCAGTTTCATTACGCTCCTATGCACGTGGACAGCTACCATGCTGCAGCTTCCCCAAGCCTCCATCACTGTCAGTGCATTCTCTTGGCTTCACCGTGGGACCAGCACTGAGGGATGACAAGATGCTTCTCCCCTGGGTTTCCTGAATCAATGGGAAGAGCAGTGGGTGCTCCTGCTCACGGGCCATGTCTGCAGTGCATCCCCCTTCCACTCCAGCCCTGCTCAGCTGAGTAACTCCAGGTGTGACACAAAGTGCCCCTTCCTGGAATTGCCCTGGTGAAGCACCTAGGCAGCCTGAGCTCCGCTGCTCCGTGACTGCAGCGAGGCCTTATGCCTGTGTTCCTGATAGCCCTGCTGGCTGTGCCTACAGCCTGCAGTCCAGGTGCCTCAATCAAGCACTGATCTGCCACTGCGCAGTGGTTTTGTTCTGTGGCTGATTCCACAATCCGTGGCTGGTGTTCAGCTGGGGGGCTTGATTACCCCACCAGAGATTAAAACATACGCTGCATCTAAACAAGGCTCTGGGGTCAGTTTTGTCTGAGAATAGCTGTGCAAAGAGTGACACATATCTTAAATTGTACCTGGAGTGGGGGTAGCATGATGGATGTTTTGCATGAGCCAGCCTGAGTGCAAGCTCTGGGGGTATGCCCTTGGCTGAGCTCTGTCCCCCACTTCAGGTGAAGCTGTCAGGGCTGCTGGCTGCTCTGGGCTCTGCTCAAACTCCATCTTATAAACAGAGCTGGGGTCACATTCTCCTTTACACATTTGCTTGCTGCTCTGACACCAGGGGAGCTGGTTCTGCTCAACTTGGTCCCTGCAAAGCCAAATTTATCTGACAAGCTGTGGTGGCAGCTGAGAGCTCACTGTAGCCCCTCAGTATCCTCCTCTCCTCCAAGCTTGGCTCCTGGTCCAGGTATGGCTTTTGGGCAGCTGCACACCTATGCATGGACTTTTCTTGGTCAACCTGGCAGCTTCTGCTCTGTTCAGCTAAGTCTGTTCAGCAGCATTGGAGATGTGTCCTGTGCTGCAGTCCAGCATCAGCAGCCAATGCTGAGCTGCAGGTGTGAGGCACGACACCCTCCAGGAGGAAGCAGTCTGGTCTTAGTCCTTGGGTGTGCTTTTGGTTGGAGCAGTGAGCAGGGAGAACGCAAGGTTAGGTGCAGCCATGAGGAACAGGATGTGAGCACTGGAGCAGAGCTCTGAGCTCCTGGAGGCAGCATGTGCTGCTTTCTCCCTGGTGCTGCTCCTGCATCCATCCTGCACATTGACGACACGTGGGTGTCACACATCTGGTGCTTTCCATCCACCTTGGTGGAATGATGTTGGCTGCGGACCAGGAGAAAAATAAAGCACAGGCTCTGGCGCTGGAGCTTCTGCCCTCTGCCCAGTGTAGGGGCAGCACAGACTGAGCCACAGCCTTGGGAAAAGAGAAAAGCATCAGCTGACACCACTGCAGCCACATAAGCACCATCAGTGCTCAACTACAACACAGGGATGAGTGTCTGTCCCACGCCACTTGTGGCTTCCAGAACAGCTCCTGGTTACGACACAGAGGTCTCCCCCTGGACTCCACACCAGACAAACATTTACAATGCACCTACCCCTACACATGCTCTGAACCTGTTTCTGTTTTGTTTTCTTGAATTTTTATTCCATTTTGCATAGAGTTCTAGCTGTCTCCAGCCAAACTTACACAACAAGTAGTAACAGAGGAGGAGAACAGATGTAGGAACTCACGTTAAAGAAGTGGCACAATCCTGTGGAAGGGAGCAGTGGGTGGTATATGGGACACAGGCATGACTGAGGTTGTAGGTCACAGATACCATGCCGGTGAGAGCAGCAGGCAAGACATGAGACTTGGGCAGCAGCTCTGCAGAGCACCTGCAACACCTGCCCTGGGCCTTGGAAGAGTTACCTCCTCCTTCCCAGCCAGCCAAACACCAGCTCAGTTTAAGGGTAAAGCCTGTTGCAGCAAGATTTAAAGCTCGTTTGTCCTTTGGTTTAAGTGTAGAAATCAAACAGCTCAGGTGTGATTTCAATACAGACATTACAAGGAGGTAACCTTCCCAGCTCAATCCAGGGCTGATGTTCAATGTAATTAACTTGATGAGGAAATGTTGGCTTTGGTAGCACCCTCATGGTGTTCAGACTTGGGCTGGAGTTACTGTTTTCTCTCATCATCATAAGGTCATGCCAGATTTAAGCAGAAGTAACACACGTTTGATTGGTTTGCAGTGGGAAAGATGCCTCTGCAGTGCTCTGTACCAAAGAGCTCTAAAAAATCCAGCTAAAGCACAGAGCTCCCAAGCCTTACCTCATTCGCTTTCAGGTATGGGACCTAAGCTAAAAAACAGTGGATGCAAGACTAAAATTCAGTTGTGCTTAGGATGTGAGAGTGCTTTTAAGTTTTCCCATAGCTCTGAGTAGAAAAGGAAGGTTACTCAGCATGTAGACAGTGGTAGATGAGCATCCCATGCCTGCCTGCACTGAGTAACTCCAGTACCACTTCCCCTACAATCTGCCCCCAGCTCCTTCCCACTAAGGGAACCAACTAAGGACACCAGGCTCCCTCAACTACATAAAGTTAATCAACACCCCCTTCCCCCCCAAGAGAAAACAATAAAAATCAAGATCGAGGTGATGAAAACAGAGGAGCACAGGTCACAAGTCCCTGCATAAATGAGGCCAAACCTCAGGTGTGTGATACCCATCTCTGATGTGACGTGCACGCTCCTCCAAGGCATGAACATGCTGGCAAGACGCAGCCTCTCCAGGGTCAGCCTTCCTTCATCTCTTAACATTTGTACATTCGATTTCAACAGGTGAAGGTTTCTTTCCCAAGGCAGACAGTGGATACTTGAGGGACCTGCTCATTAGGACACTGCTGCTACAGTTCTGTTCAGCAGGCAGAAGTCATGCTGCTACAGTTTGGTGTCGCATCTGTTGTTGAAAAGCTGGTTTATAATGCCTGGGTTTACCAAGGTGGAGATGTCCCCCAGATCTCTGTCATTTTGGGCAATCTTCCTTAGTATCCGCCTGGTGATCTTTCCTGTAAGGACAACCATGCAAGGAAAGCAGGACTTAGGATCTCTTCAGCATCCCTAGCAAAAGTCAGTGCCCAGACCGACAGCATCCCATATGCCCTAGGGATGCTCCCTGTGGATTTGGCTGCTCCCAGATAAACAATTCAGGGATAATTCCTTTCCACTGGCAGGAACTGGTTGGTCCTCCCCAGCTGGGAGCCTTACCTGAACGGGTTTTGGGCAGGCTGGGAGCATACTGGATGTAATCAGGCGTTGCTATCGGTCCGATTTTTTCCCTGACTGCAAAATAAAAAAAAAAAAAAAAATCTTCATTAGAGATACAAGAAGATCTTGCACATATTTTTCTGGCAGGACTACTGAGTTCAGGCACGCAGAGCCCAGCTCCCAGGGCAGCCTGGTGCTCACACAGTGTGTGGTTCAGCACATCTTCCCAAAGGCAGCTGCACTCCAGTTCTCATTTTCTCTATTTCCAAGAGACCTCAATAATCTCTGTACCAATCACTGTTACCATTTTGATGGAGCAAGAATCGATTCCCTAATGTATTCCTGCAGAGAAGAAAGTCCCATGGCAGGTCAGTCCCTGCTCTGCCAGCGCCTGCTGGCTGCAGGAGACAGGTCTGCAAACGTTCCCTTCTGCCTCCCAAAGTAACCAAACAGTTCTCAAATCAAACAGGGAGAGCCACAGGTACCATGCCCACCACTGCAAACAAAAGCTACCCAAGTTGTCCCTGCAATTGCCAGCTCCCAAGAGGTAGAGACGGCATCACATGAGCAGCCAAAGGCCAGGAGAACTAATTTTAGTCTTTGCCAGCCGTGTTCTCTAATCAGAGGGGGCACCTTGATGCAGTTGTCCATGCTGCATTCCCCAGACTACATGCACCCTCATTTAAGCACCCGAGCCCTTAACCCCTCCACCCCCTGCAGCAGCCTCCAACCTGTTTGGCTGTTACTACCTTGTTTTTTCAGCTCATCTGCCAGGTCCTTGGTGAATTCATGGCCATCTTTCAGGGTCACGAAGCAGTAGAGGCACTCGCCTTTCAGGGGATGTGGGTGGCTGACCACAGCGGCCTCAGAGACGGCTGCATGCCCAAGCAGAGCTGACTCCACTTCTGCAGTGCTCAACAAGTGGCCTGGAAACAGAGGCAGCGCATTGCAGAGCTGCGTGGAGGCCTGCAGCCCCTCAGCAGCCAGGAGGAAGAGGTCAGGAAGTGTAAAAAGCCCTGAGCTGTATGTTTGAGAGGACTGCTTTCACTCGCTTCTCTCTCCAGCTGTTTTCTCAAGCCCATTTTAGCAGTTCAGTGGTGTGGGCTGCCCCACAGGGCTGCCAGGCATCACTCACATGAGCTCAGGCTGCAGCGTGAGGCTACCTCCCCTGGCTGTTTTCCTTCCCACCTTTAGGTTTCTTTCTTCCACAGGTCTGTGAATTGTTCACAGACACAGGATTACACAAATCACAGGCTGAGGAGTTGGATTTGGTAAGAGGAGAGCTGGCCACAAGGTCAGCTGAGGAGGAACAGGCTGGACCTGCGCTGCTCCAGGTCATTGTTGTGGAGATACAAAACGGAGCTTCCCAACACAAGGCTGGGGCACAACTCACTTTTGTATACTTCCTGCACCCACACTGTTATTCTGGGACTGCTGTCACAGAAAACCACAGGAAGGAGACCAACTCCCAAAACGATCAGTTGGTGAGGATGCAGCTTGTCTGATGAACGGATCTAGTTTGGTGCAGGTAAAAAAGTACAGCAGCATCTCAGAGCCAGCAATGAGTACCTGCAGGCTACAACTCCAGGAGAGGACAGAGAACCTCCATCTCTGGGGGCAAAGCACTGAGCAGCTTGATCCAGCTTTTATGTTAACCCTACCTGGAGCTACATGTTGGATTAAAGACTGCAAGGTCTTGCCCAGCCTGGATGTCTGTGCTTCCCTTTGGCACTGCATGCTTCAACACAAAGCATATATGTTGGCTGAGGATCTGCTTTAAGATACTGCAGAAGGCTCCTTCCCTCCAGTGTACTGCTACTGGAGGAATTAATTCAGAATCACAAAGTCACAGGCAGGTCTGATTTGGATATAAACCTGATCCAGCAATTAGATCCATCTAGAGGACAGGCTGCTGGGCAGTCTCACATACGGAGAAATGCTCTCCATAAAAGCAAAGAGGCTCTTTTAACCAGCATCAGGAAGCACGCTGGCTCCCACTGAAGACAAAAAAAAAGCTGTTCTTACCAGAAACATTCAGCATGTCATCAATTCGCCCTGTGATCCAGTAATAACCATCTTTATCTCTCCTGCAACCTAAAAATAGCCAGAAATGACAGCATGAAGAAGCAGTGCCAGCTCTTGGAGCAACTGATAAGGGATCCTGAGGCCAGGACTGTGCAAGATTTTAATTGCTGTCCCCAAGCCTCTGCACCCACACACTGCCCAGACAGCCTTACCATCACCTGTCACGTAGTACCCAGGGAACTTCTTGAAGTACGTGGTTTCAAACTGCTGGTGGTTTCCATACAGTGTGCGCATTATTCCTGGCCAGGGCTGCTTAAACACCTACAGTGAAAAATGCAGACCTGAGTCAGTGGTCAACTGTTAACCGAGTGGCCTCTGCTGTTCGTCAGCATTTCTGAATCACCTCCATGGACCCACAGTACTGCTGGGCAGCTAGAGCACTTCCTACACTGTTCCAGGTCTTGCCAGCTCAGCATAACCCTTTTGTAGCTCCTGGGACATGGAAAGAACAACTTTACTCTGAAGAACTCATCCAAGGGTCAAGGTATCTATCAAATACCTGCTTTCTGCCTCCCCCAGTTCAGGATCCTATAAACTGTTTATTCTGCTAGTGGAAGGAAAGTAGCTCAGTGTTTGCACTGCTGTGCAATGACGGAGATGCTGCAGAGGTGGCCGTAAGAAATGGCACTCAGACAGCTACTGCCTCATGCTACTGAGAAAGCCCCTCCAGTCCCTCCTGTCATGCTCATGCATGCAAGTTCCTTTATGGATCATTTAACAGCTCGTTCATGGCACAAAATTCACAGTGAAGTTACAGCAGAAAAGAGAGCTCCTGCCACCCAAGGGATCCAGTGTAAGCAGAGATGTGCATACGCTACCCAGAACGTCCTGGAGCTCGTGGGGAACAGACAAGGGTAGGGTGAGGAAGATCAGCCCCTCTTTACCAAGTAGCCTTCTGCTTCTCCTTCCAGCTCTTCCCCCGACTCGTTCATGATGGCAGGGACCACACCAAAGAAGGGGAACGTCTGCCATGGGCACCAGACAGCAAGGAGACATGAAGATGAGCTGAGGCATTCAAACTTTGCATAGAGGGATGGGGAGCCCTCCCTGTCAGGGCAACAGTAATACTCACAGCAGAGCCCGGTTTCATGGGGGTGGCAGCAGGAAGAGGTGTAAGCATGTGGCCACCCTGAGAACAGAGGCAAAAGGAATGAGATTAATGATGCCAGCCTGTGGGAAGGGTACAGCAGAGGAGAGGGTGTCCATGTTTGGGCACAAAGCTTTGAAACTGCAGATGAAAAAGAGGGGGAGAACAGGGTTCGGAGCAGACTCTTCTCAGGAACTCTTCTGAGGTCTTCCCATGGCACCTGTTTGAGGCCCTGGGAGAGAAGGGGAACCAACACTTGCAGGCCACATGAGATGCTGGGAAAAGCTCCTAGACAAGGAGAACAACTGGTTCCAATAGCACCAAAGAAACATGATGGGAAACTTGCAAAGACACCACGCTGCCTGCTGGGAGCACAAAGAAAAAGAAGTCCAGAGACACCCAGCTGAGGACTCACCGTCTCTGTCTGCCAGAACGTGTCCACAATGGGACACCTCTCCTCTCCCACCACGCGGTAGTACCACAGCCAGGCTTCAGGGTTGATGGGCTCCCCAACGGTCCCCAGCACCTTCAGAGACTTCCGGCTGTGCCTGCAGAGAGGAGGGGGCTCACAGGGGCTCAGCAGGCCGCAGAGAAAAGCAGCTGTGAGCCTGTGGCACTGCAGAGCCTGCAGGAATCCCCAGGCCTCTCAAATATATTTGGAGTTTCAACGATTCAGTCCCTTCTCAGCTCTCTGTCACAGGGGAAGAAGGGAAGCCCCCGTGGTTTTGTTGCCTCCTGCTCCAAGCTCCCACTTGGCTCTGCTCCTTCCCTTCTTTGGGCCAAGCTGCAGCACAGGGGGGCCCCTCTGCCCGACACCCCTCTGTGAGCCCTGGGTGGGGGAGCACCTGCAGTCTCAAAGCTTAGCTGCAGCTCACAGTGAAAAAGAACAACCTGCTCTGGGGTGCCACATCGAAGGCAGTGAAGGGGTGCAAATCGCTGGGTTGAAGGCCAAAAATCCTGTTTTGTTCAGACAACATGGTGGGATACTGCTGCTCAGAGAGGAAGGTGTGCTGGTGCCAGGGACCCCCGTGCTCCTGGGGACTGACTCACTTTTTAACGAGCTCCTCCCCACACTTCATCAGCAGCCGGATGGCTGTGGGTGCCGTGTAGAACTTGGTCACCTTGTACTTGTCAATGATACTCCACATTCGCCCAGCGTCCGGGTAGGTGGGGATACCTTCAAACTGAGTGGGAGACAGGGCAGTGACACAGCTGTTCCTCAGTGCCACCTCCCCAGAACGACCTGCAGCCCTTCCTCAAGCAAGAGGAGCCGAGAGCAGCTGTACCCCTGTGTGATCTTAGAGGCGTGCCAGGGGCATCACGCAGTGAAACCAGTTCAGGACCCTTCTTACTTCTTCCTCAGGATGGATTTTGCACCCTCTCACCCCAGGTGTCCTAGCAAATGTCCCCTAAAACATCCTAGCAGGGAGGACACTTGAGTGGCTATCAGAGTGACGCAGTCCCACCAGCCCAAGTGACACTGCCCAGGTAGCATAGGGTAATGCCACACCACGCTGTGGAGACCCACAGCCAACAGCACTAAGAATCCTAAAGAGGATTCTCCCTGGATGACATATTTTCCTGCTTGCTCTATCACATGGGAATTTTGGACCCAAGGCTCTGGTTCCTGATGTGTATACAAGTTACAGCCATACACTGTCAAGGGAGATACAGGTACAGGAATTAAAGGCAGGTTGTCAAATTAGTGCCAGCAGCAACAACTTTACTTCCTGGCTTCCAGTCCAGCTTTCACATTAGCTTGCAGTTGTCCTGATGCCTGTTTACACAAGGCTGGCACTTCTAAGAGAAAAAAATGTGAGCATTTGAAAAACAAATTACCTGCAAGTTATACACACAGCCTGGCCATCCCTCTGCCACTACGGAGTAACCCACATCTCTTTGGAGAATACCATCCTTCCTCACAAACCACAGCATGCTACAATACGGCATGGACAGTACAGTGCTGCCTCGTACAAGGGAGAAAAGCAAATCCTGATGTGCTCCTCACAGAGCAAAGCACCACCATGCCTAACTTCTTAGAGGACAGGCACCCAGTGGCCATCCAGCACTTACTAATACACTAGTTGCCCCATTTGCCAAGGGTCCGTAAGTGATGTAGGAATGGCCTGTTATCCATCCAATGTCAGCTGTGCACCAATAGATGTCTTCAGGCTGGTAGTCAAAGACATACTTAAATGAAGTGGCAGCATAAAGCATGTATCCACCCACTGTATGCAGCACACCCTGAAAAGAGAAGGCACAGAACCATCAGGTCATGTTCCCACCAAGGCCCCCATCTCCCTGGCCAAGCTGAGAATCACTGTTTCATCGAGATTAAACAGCAGCTGAGCACAACACAAACACAGCCCCCCCTGCACGGCAGCAGGATCTCCCTCATCCCATCACTGGGGGGTTGCTCTGGCTCAGCCCATCCCCACAGGGCAGCAGGCTATGTAGAAAACATACCTTGGGTTTTCCAGTTGAGCCACTTGTGTAGAGGATGAAGAGTTCATCCTCTGAGTCGCACCACTCAGGCTCACACTCCGTGCTGGCACCGCTCATTAGATCTTGCCACCACACATCCATGTGTGGATCCCAGGGGATCTGAGAAAAGCCCAACATTAGGAACAGGCCCTCCACAAAGGCATGGAGAGGGGACAAGTGGCTGCAGCCCCAGCCTTGTCACCCCTCTTGGCCTATCCAGCCAGTTACTCATGGCACAGCTTCTGCCCAGAACTGGAAATCATGCATCAGAGCTGCAACTCTCAGTCAAGATGTTCCTGCAAGACCTGAAGCAGATTTTCCAGACCACTGGCAACACCAACAAACCCCTCTCAGAAGCAGCCGTGGCTGCTCTGCCCTTTCATAGAAAACAGAACCCCTTCTGGCTCTGTGAGCTGCAAACAACCAAGCCAGAAGCCTTGGCACAGCCACATGTCCTCCATCACAGCCACACTGCAGGGTCTTGTTATCATGGGGGTCACAAGACCAAGAGGAACACATCAGGCTTCTTGTCCCTGCAGACCCAAAAATCTGTTATATCCAATTTTAAGACAACTATCTTGATAAGAAGTGGCTGCTCCAATGCTGAACCAGCCAGCACTGACTGCCCATCAAGGGTGCCAAGGCTATGACAGGGCTACCAGCACCCCTGGGGGCCTGAGAGCTGCGCTGGCTGCCATCATCTCCAGAATGCACAGCTCAGTGCAAGAACCAGTTCCACGCAATCTTTTCTCCTCTCCATGAAGGAGCCTGGGAACAGCTGAGTTCTTCAGACTGACAGCACACCTCCACTGCCCACACCTCCACAAAGCCAGGCATGCCGATCCCCAGCCTTGCAGCATGTGGAGGGCTCACCAGGGGCACATCAGCTGGAAGAACAAGGGCCCACTGTGCAGCACAGTCTGTGCATTGTCCCCAAGCTGTCACCCAGGCTCCAGCAGTCACTTGTACAAGAATTTCTTGTTAGCAAACAGAACTGGAAGGTGCCTTTGGTCCAAGAAGAGATGTAGAGATGTAAACACCTCAGCAAAGCAGGACGGAAACATCAGCATAGGGATCTTCTGGTCCTGGTGGAACTCCGTGGCTGAGCAGACATAGCAGCTGCTCCTAGCACTCACCAAGGCAGGGAACCTCCTCCACACAGCGGATCCCAACAGCTCATAGCTGAGGGCTATACAGAGCAGCCCAAGGGCAGCAGATGTACCCCAGAATTCTCTCAGCTGGAGCACACCCGTGCACAGAGCAACCACGGGGTGGCAGTGATGTACTGCAGCCCTGAGATGTGCATGGGCCGTTTGGAGGCGCTGGGATTCTGCTACACACAGCTCTGGTACACGGTGCAGAAATGCCAGCTCCGCTGCCCCTTCACTGACAGCACTGCACAGTTGAGCCCATTTTGAAAGCTCTCACAGAACCCCGCGGCATCCGGCGAGAATTTCCATAAGTGAGGCACATCAGCAAGCTCTCAGCGAGGCACCACACTGAACACATCCATGCTCAGCTCGTACCAGCCTACCTGCTGCCTTCTGGCATCTCTCCTCCAAGGATCACTACGTGTTAGCACCAAACTTCCTTTGTTCCACCTCAGACCCATGAATGGCACACAGCCCCCAGTGCCAGACCAGTACACACAACAGGGCATGCTGCCTCTGTCCTACACAGTTACACTACCTTGTTAGAAAGGAAGGAGACCTAGAGCTGAAGGACGCAGCAGAGACAGAGGTGCCTGTGGTCTCTGAGAGCTGGACAGCTTGATCCAGGGAGGTCTGAGAGCTTGATGTAACTCTGGAATGTAGGATGGGAGCTAGCACACACCTGCCCATCACTGAACATCACACTCGGGTTGGCAGCAAGGCCATGGGGCAGCTGATGCCAAGGGATCAGAAAACATCTGAATCTCAAAAAGTCACACAGTGATGCTGACTAATAAAAGCCCAATATGCAAACCCTGGCTCTTGTGGTGCTCTAGCAGAGGATACGTGCTGGCTGGCTTGTGTGAACTGAACACAGGCTGGCCTGTGTTCAGTTCACACAAGCCCTGTAACTGCAGCTCCTCAGTCAAGTGAGCAAAGCCCTGGCGCTGGGTTGGGCTGTGGGGCTGCAGGCTTCCTGGCCCTGCACACCTCTGCACCTGGGGAGCTGCCTGTGGTTCCTGCTGGCCCCATGATGATGAAAAGCACACTGTGAGTACTGCCTGTAGAGGTGAAACATCATCCTGATGCTGCCACCAAGTCCTACTGGTTCTGAGTTTCATCTTGCGAGCACACTCACATGCATCCAGGTGTATTCACAGAAGCCAATCTGTTTCCAGCAGCAAAGATGGTGTTGCTGACCCCAGGCTGTGCTCAGCAGCCATCCTGCCACCACCAGAACAGAGAGGTCTGGACTGCTCCTTTGTGAAGAGGAAGCAGAAGGCAGCCAGGCAGTCACAGCACACACACATCTCCTCACCCTCTGATTCCGGAGGTCATCATAGACACTGCAGGATCCCAACCACACTTGCTGCCCTTGTGCTGCTGGGCAAATGGCTCCACACAGTGTCTGCAGCCAAGCAGATGCGGCACCTATTGCTAACATGCAGCTGCTGGTCACACAGTTAGCAGGGCACGCGTGGCCGTGCAGAGTTTGTGCGGTTAGAAAGGGCTGGAGGGGAGAACAGAGGGGAAGTGTCAAGAAGAGAAAGACAGCACTGTGCGTAAATACCTTGGGATGGAGTCTCTGTGAGCTTTCAGTCTTTTTTTCCTGTTAAAAATCCACAAAGAAGGTGTGAAAGTTGAGAAGAGGAGGATCCACACCAGGCTTTGAAGGCAAGGAGTCCCATGTTGACCTGGCAGGCTGGAGTTCTGATCCAGGGCCCAGGCCAGGAGATGCTCTCTGAGCACAACTGTGGCCCAGTTTGCCTTCTCTAGGGGCCCAAAACCTCTGGGCAGGTCTCAGAGCCCCTCCTGCACACGGCCAGCTGGGTACAACAGCACAGACCAGGACAAGCTCACCAACCGCCCGACAGTGTTACAAAAGCCAACAGAGGAGCAATGAAGGGGAAAGCAATCCTTAATAAAGTGTCCAAACAAGAACCAAAGGGTAAGAGGCAGCCCCACTCCATCTCTGCCTGAATGGCTGCTCAAGAGCCTCACATCCCCAGCAATCAGCATAGGGATAGGCTTCTCCACGGCATCTCATCCAGGAAACGCAGCACAGAAATGCTGCCCAGCTCCACTTTTCACACTCCCTGCAGCTCTCCACTGCAGGTAAGAGACAGGCAAAGGAGCTCAATGTGGCAAACGCTGCACAACACCCCTTATCATTAACACAGCTGAACAAGCAAAGGTAACCCAAAGACACAGTCTGCTGCTAGGGACTTGCACCAAGCACCCTTCTGAAAGCAGAGTCCAAAGCTCTGTCAAACACAACCCCAAAACACAGCCCATTTCTGGGCAAGCTACCTGCCCAGGCAGTACCCAGCACCTGGAGATGATTGCACGCACTGCTGTGAATTAATTGGCAGATGCTTAGGGACAGAATATAGCGTTGCAAGACGCAGCGTGCTGTTAGTGCTGGGTGGTGACCGAAGCATCCCATCACAGCAGACAAAGGCTGTGCCTGGCTGCACTGTGCAGCAGGACTGTCACAGCCTCAAGAGCTCAGTAGGAAGCCACGGCTCCCTGACACCTTCTGTTCCCTCCACCCCATCTCACCCCATGTCTCTGGCCCACATCTTTCCATCTGGTTTCTTTTGCAAGAGACAGCCCCAGCTCCAGCAGCTGACGCAGTGCCTGCTACGCAGCAACTGCACTGCTCCCAGCATTTCTGTAATTGTTATCTTGGGGCCTGAAGCCAGTCATAAGAACAAATCTTCTGTTTCTTTCTTCTGTTTCCACTGCTATAGCTACAGCACAGGAAGACATTCCTCCTCACACAAAATGGGAGACAGATACAAGATTGAAAAGGAAGAACCCTTTGGTGGCCAGAGAGAAGCAAGTACCTTGTCCTTGTCCTAAGACTTCCAGCCTGTGGAAGCTGTAGCCTGCTGTGCAATCAGGAGCCCTGTGGGCTGGCAGCTAGCAATGGTGTTAAAGAAAGCAGCGGGAGGGGATCTGGGAAAGACAAAGGAACTCTTCTTTGTACCACTCACAAAGCAACAACAGCAAGCAGGGGAGAAAGCAGGAACAGGAGTCAGAAAACAGAAGCATCGAGAGAAGCACGGCAGTGATTTCACACTGAATTTGTTGAAGAGAAATGAAAATAATAAAAAAATCCCTCCCAATTCCTAACCTCCTACGAGCATACCTGCACATCCTGGCACAGCCTTTTGAGAGGAGGAGATTGGCTGCATGCCCCGTCTGCTGCTATCTCCTCTCGTCCCAGGTGCTTCACCACAATGCACTTCTTCAAAGGGAAGCCCCTGTAAGGGGGAAGGAGCTGTCAGATGAGGCTGCTCAGGCTATGCCTGCCCTTTGTGTTCTATGGGCTGTGCTGAAGGCAGAGCCGAGGCCCTGAGCTGCTTTTCTTTACCCAGAGTATGTTGCCTGCACACCCTCACAAGTAGCTCACTGGGAAGAGCTGTTCTGCTGCCTGGCACTGCTGGGAGCAAGGGAACAGGAAGGCAGCCTGGACACAGCTGCACAGGGAGGCCCTGCTGCACGTCTCACCCCTCATCACCTCCCCTCCATCTGCACTGCAGATGCAGCCATGCAAACCTCAGGCATATCATGAATTGCTGTGGGACGTGAGCAAGGCCACAGCACAGGAGCAGAGCTTGGAGAAAAGGAAAGGTCTGTGCAGAATTTAATGGGGTATTATTAGGTAAACCATACGTGTACCGTTCCTGAAGAAGAAGGAAGGATTCCACAAGCATCTCTCACAATTCACTGCCTGACAAATCCCTAATTTGCCTGTCTGTGGATCTGAGCAGGACCTCCCACAGCACCCACAAGATGCCAGACAGCTGCTTCGATCCCTAGGAGTGATCAGCTGTACACTCCAGAAAAGGGAAAGACTTCCAAAGCCAAATTACACATCAGGTACCAACACATCATGTCCATCAGTTAGCTTCATCAGCTTTAAAATCTAGTTGTCCTACCACGTAACTGCTTCTACAAACAAAAGACTTGAAAACACTTCTAAAGAGTTTGAATTTTTAACATTCAGGCTGTCTGCCCTAGAATTGCATGTTTGATCTAACAAGTTGAATGCAAAATCACAGTGAGTGTTAGCAACTCTTCTCTACAGATATGTCGCCTTTATTCTTACTAAGCAAGGAATACTTTGTCTACTAACCAAAAGGTTGCAAAAAAGTCATGACCAGTGTCTGTGTGTTTTTTCCCCAAGTGAAGCTATCCATTATTATGATGTGCATCTGTCTCGTCAGTGCAGAAGCCAAAACAATTGGAAGAGGAGATTTTGGCATGGCAGTGTAAGGATCTGGGTGTGGTGTCCTGCATGACAGTGACTGTGTCTGTAAGCCTGGTAAAGTCATTTCATCATGTTCATTTCCCTTTCTTTAGAATGGGATGGTAACATCTGCTCCTCTTTATGATTCACCAGTACTGCAGTGAAGACATATTCAAGAAATGGAGTCAGGCATTAATCCTGTGCACAGACTGGCACATGCCAATTAAAGCGCTGGTTCCTGCGACACAGCCATCTCCCACAGCTGAAATATCTGTTTTATTTCATTATGGTTGAGCAAGCGGCTTTTGGGCAAGATTTAAGCTCCATCTTAATATGCACCACAGTATGGTGTCAGACTGCTCACAACTTGCACTGGGAGATCCACCCTTGGTCATGGCCATTTTCACCATGAACATTTACACTCCCATTTGTGCAGGAGTAGATTCCAACAAGTGCCCTTTCACAAAAGAATCTGAATTTACTTGTCTTTGCTCTTCTGGAGAGCTTCATCTGCAATCTGCTTCAGGTTGACCAGCTTGTCCCCTCGATAAAAGGCATCTGCAAAACAGTAAGAACAGTGAGAGAGAAGCTCCGCAGCCAAGGCAGCCTGGGACAGCTAGAAACAACAGGCAGCTTCAGGAGGTCAGAACAGAATTTATGCACCAGAAGGAGAGAAAGCAGTCAAGCAGCTGATGGGAAAGGTTTCCTAATACGCCCTTTTAGCCTAGAGAAACAGATGCCAAGGGAAATGGTGAAATTCCTTCCCTGGGAGAGGTTCAAATCTGACCTGAAAAGTCTCTTAGGAATATTCTGTGGGGAATAATGCAACTTGGCCAGAACATACATCACAGTATTTAATGGGTTCCTTCCATGCCGTGAACCTATTAACAGTAACAGCACTACCTCAGAAAATACAGCTTTGGAAAATGCATTGGCTTTACATGCAAACACTTTCTTGATCCCTTGCTTTGCAAAGCTGAGAGTTGTGATAGGAATTTTCTCGAAATAGGGAAGAGAGGGAATCCCTCAAATTTGGGCAGGCCCATGAATGATACATCTTGCAAACATCTGGCACATTCTGAAGAGGAACATGGATGAGAAGCATTGGGAAACATGCTATTAGCAGCTGGTGACATCATGCTCTACAGGACAAAGTGGGCGGGCTGCTTAGATGCTTCGCAGTACATTCAAAGAGGAAAGCAGTCCTCAAGCACAGCTACAAGCAGCATATCCGCCTTGCAGCAGCTCAGCTGAAGCACTGCCCCTTCCTCTTCCAATTCCAAGCACATCTGGCTTTTAAAATACAGACCTTTCAGACAGCCAAGAGAAACAGCTCAGAGTCAGGGGCACTGAAGCATGTTTTACCTGCCGTAATGAGGAGGGAGCAACCGCAGTCGAGGATCCGCTCACAAAGAGAGTCTGCTGAGAAACCTGCAAACTGGCAGATCACACAACCAAGTTAGCAAGCAACACAAAAGGAATGGCCACAGCTGCACTGTTATCCTATGGTAAATGGTAACAGCATGCACTGATGGAAAGACCTAGAGGAGCTCATTCCATGGCGCACAGAACGCACCACATTTAGTTTCCATCCATGTTATGGTCAGCACCCATCCTTTCAGCTCTTCCAGTCCCCCTCCCTCACTCTCCCCAGACCAACAGCTGCTCCCAAACAGCGATGCACAAGGCTTGCTCTTACCACAACAGAGTGGATGGCTCCAATCCTGGCACAGGCAAGCATGGCTATGACCAGCTCCAGGATCATCGGCAGGTAGATGGAGATTCGGTCACCTTTCTTCACACCTGTGAAAGGAAAACAAACACGTCATTTATCAAAATGATCACACCATGCCAAAGGAACAGGCTACAGAAAAAAGCTAATGATTTTAAGCCAGTGTTTATACACACACAATAAAGTTTCAGCTGGAGCTAGAGCATAGCCAGCTTGGGAAGAACATTTCAGCTGTCCAGGCCAAAGCAGTGCCAACAGGCATGAACTTCCACTGCCATTCCCCAGCAGTGCCCATGCACCACGGCAGAAATGCAAGGAGCATTACATCAGTAACGACCAGGAAAAGAGCTCCAGACTGCCCAGGGGCACTGAGCACGTGTGTTCTGCCTTTCAAGCCTTACTGCTCTTGTGAGCTTGCTGCAATGGTCAGAATGTGCAGCAATGAATGTTGCACGTTCTGAGATCAGACATGTTCAGTCTCTCGAAAGAGGCAGAACCTCACTGCTAGTTGGAAAATCTCAGAGGAGAAAGTTTTGAGCACAAGTTCTTTTCTTGTACAGCTGGCAGGAACAAGCAACATTGATGAGCTAGAAACAGCTGTGTAAGAACACACTGCAGAGTAAACCTGCACATACCTCCTCCACAGCTGTGGAAGCAGCCAGAGAAATGAAGCATGTTGCATTTAACAGAATAGCAACCATGCAAAAAAATGATCCCATCTCCAAAAACTGGTCTAACACTTTCCCAGTATGTAACTCTCCCCTTGCTCCAGCCACCTACCGTGGTTATGGAGGACATTGGCAAACTGACAGACTTTGCGCAGCAACTCGCCGTATGTGATCTTCATAGAATCCCCTGGTTCATTCCCTTCCCTGGAAAAACAAGGAGGTCTTTGTTACTGTGCAAGCACTACAAGGGAACAGTGCAAATTCAGAGGTACTGTCCCCACAGACAGCACTGATGTTCCCACTTGTCCTCCTGAGCAGAGAAACTGAACCCCAGAACTCCAAATCTGGACTGAAGTTGTCCATCAGTAAAACGATTTAGTCCAAGCTCCCCATCCCAGGTAAATCAAATCTACAATCTAGATTGTAGATACATCTACAATCAAATGCATCCAGTGGAAATGCAAGGTACCTTCACATAGGAGAAAGAGGAAGAAGGAGCCGACAGTTCCAACAGTAAGGATGGCCACACTTGAAAGGAAGCTGAGATTTATGGTATGGCATGCTTGCTCACATGCCTGCAGACACGTCTGCCTGAGACACAGGCCAGTGCTGGCCTGTAGGAACACCCTCCCCTTACATACCCACCTTCTGATGGCCTGGGATTGATGCCAAAGGCTGTCTTATTTTCCAAGGTCACTTGCAACAAATACACACAGGTATATTTAAGTTACTGCACTATTATGCATTATCATACATGTTATTAATATTACACATTATTACATGTGTTAAGATATGCATTATTCTCTGCAGTTCTCCATAAACAAGCTCTGGGATCCTGCTACAAAGGTGCCAGTTCAGTGGGACCTTGGCATTGAACACAGTAGCATGAAGAAGAGCCAAGAGCTGCACCCAGAGATGAAACAGAAATGTCACATTCCCCTAGGAAACAGTCTGTTACCAAAATAAAAACCTGCTGATTTTAATGACGCTTCAGCCACTGCACAGTGAGGCAGGAGATTAACAATGGAAACCTGAAATGAGCTCCCAGGTGGCAAAGCAGTGGTCCCCCATGCCTAGAGAAGGAGACACTTCCCCACATCTCTCCCCAAGGCAGGCAGCACACCATCATCAGTGACTCCCAGATCGCTCTCAGCTGCTTGTTCCCCTTGAAAAGTGTCCCCTGGGGTACGTGCAGGCACATTGAAAGCCAACACCAGCTGGGGAGCTGCCAGGATGCACCTCTGTGCACAGGATCCTGCCCCAGGGCCAAGGCAGGCAGCCTCTAACTTGGGAGCACAAACCTCACACCTTGAACATCTCAAACAGCTCAAAGCACACAAAGCCAAGTGCTGCATTCTAGCTTAAACTGCCTGCTGCTTCCTCTTCCCCCATTAACACAAGCAGAGGGAGGGCTACTGTGGCACTGAAACGTGTTAAAGAAATACCCCCTTTTCTCACGTAACTCCCCAGGAAGGGCTGTTCTGCATTAGCACGACAGTGCCAGGGAGCCATGCGCTCTGATGTCAGATGTGCTCTGCGTGGAAACAGCACACAGCCTCACAGAGACAAGCCCTGCACCTCCTGCCGCAAGCAGGATGGGGCTTTCAGAACTGGTGGCTTGATCTGGATCACTGCTTTGAAAACCGCTCCTGGACCTGCTGTTTACAAACTTGACTCCTTACTCTGGATACCCACTCACACTTGTGGCTTCCATGGTGCTCCAGCAATCAGGCCCACTGACACCTGCACTGCTGCACAGCCTATCTTCTGACCCAGGGTTTCAGAAAGGGAATTCCTGGTATGATCCTGACCCAAGTTTGGCCCCACGTTGGTAGATGCAATGTGAAAAAAAAAAATCAATGGGAACAAGAAGCAGCGCTCAGGACAGGCAGCTCAGCCCTGGCTCATAACCAAGAGCATCGCTTGGAGCTACACAACAAACCGTTACATGGATTCCATACTGCAGGGCCCTCAGCTTGTAAAGAGAAACCAGGAAATCACAGGGTTTCCTTTTAGATTTTATTACTTCAAGGTCAAAGATTCAAGAGCTGATTTCAGGGTTGGACTGAGCAGCTGTAACTGATCTGACTCAAAGCAAGAGAATCTGCTTCTGTTACACTGCTGCCAACCTTCACCATGCAATGATCTTCACTGAGGCATCTAAGCCACGGAGGTGCAGCAACACTGAAATAAGCAGTGTGCAAAACAGCTTGGAGCCGGACTCACAGGAACACTGCAAACACAGCTCTGTGCTTCGATAATTGCACTGGGCTTCCGTGGCAGGGGTTGGGTAGTGGAGGGCTACAAGGTAGCCTCTGTGAGCAGGGAGGAGGTGCTCCAGATACAGAGCAGAAGTTCTCTGCAGCCTAGGGAAGGCTTGTAGTGGTGCAGGCTGTGCCTCTGCAGCCCACAGGCGCTGCACAGAGCAGATCTCCACGTGCAGCCACATAGCAGCCCATGGTACAGCAGTGGACATGGACTGAAGGAGGTACAGCCCACGGGGCCCCACAGGAGCAGGGCCCATCTGGAGCTGCAGCCCATGGGGAAGAGCTGCAGGGAGCAGGAGGCCTAGGGGAGCTGCCACCTGTTGGGCCCTGCACCAGAGTTGCTCCTGAAGGATGGGCCCCATGGTAGGGTCCATGTTGGAGCAGGGTGTGGAGAGCTGCAACCTGTGGGATGCGCACACAGGATCCATTCAGAAAGGAGAGCGTCTGCAGGAGGGACGTTCCTGTCCTCATCTCAGCCCTTAAGTCCTGTTCAGTATTTTCTCCCCTTCTTCATTTGAGGAGGGAGAACAAGAGAGCCGTGTGTAGGAGTTCAGCTACTTCTCAGGTGAAACCCCAACCATCTCTTTTCAATACAATTGTAACACCTCCAAATAAGAACAGGAGCAGTCCAGCCCCTCTGATTCCTCACTGCAGCTCTCTGTGTCAGGTCTGAGGGGCAAAGGGGACAGCAAGGCTGCAGGGATGAGCAGCCCATGTCTCTTGTCTGACACCTCCACACTGCCATCCTGCTCACAGCCTGCTGGGGACACAAGCCTGTCCTGTATGTCCCCTTCTCCAGGCCACAAGAGATGCACCCAGGCTGGGACACACACTCACACTTGACTGTAAAGCCAGCACACACAGGGCACAGCAGAACACAGGGTGGGAAGTTGAAACCTCTTCCCCCAAGGTTTTCAAAGGGCTTTCAACATCCTTCCCTGGCTCCATCCGCACAGCTAGCATCAGCAGGGGTGCCCCAGGCTTCAGAATGATGAGTTCAGATCTTAAGGTGACCTGCATCTCAATGGAGTGCTGGCCACATTTCTATAGAAGATACCCACTTGCATCTCCTGCAAAGGCTTCTGAGCACACTCTCAAGAGCAAGCAATTGTTTCTAGCTTCCTTCTGTCTGAAAACAGTTTGCAGTGCCCACAGCTACACTTGGGCTGCAACAGCACTCAAGCTGCTCTACACTTTTCTCTGGCACAAAAGTGAACACAATTACACATTTCAGATGGGGCATTTAGAGAAATGCCCACCTGCATGCTACAAAGAAAGTAAAGTACTATGTGTCAGAAATGAGCTTGAATTCCTGGAAGCAAAGCTTTTTGAGCAGCATCTTCCCTCTGGTGCCCAACAGATAAAAGCCAGAGCTATCAGCCCTGAGCCTCTCACAAATAGCTCACTTGTCCAAATTCAACTGAAAAATAAATAAATAGAACTCAAACAGCACGACAGCAAAGCGCTCACCTCCACAGCCCTGCCTGCATCTTCTTCAAGCAATGCTGATGAAAACCAACAGCAGTGGCTCTGCTGCAATTGCAGGTGTGTGACTGAGCTAACAGCAAGCCTTCCTCTGAAACAAAACAATTTTCAACTCCTCGGACCCCCCAGAAACACTGTTGGATGGAATACGTGGTGAAGCACAGTTTGAGCTTCAAATTTAATCCTGCATTTGACAACTAGCAATCCAAAATGTTACATCATCATCTGGACCACAGCAGGGATGCATTTGCATTTTTCAGCACATGAGAAGCCTGTATTTTACATGTTCCATGTTGTGTGCATACTCAGCTGGAGAGAAGTATTTTTTGGCTACGTGGTCTCCGCTGAGCCTCCCACTGACATAAGTAAATTCCAGTTCTTTAAGGTAAACACACAGGTGCACACCTTCCAGAACGTTCTGATGAGAAAGGCAAGTTTCCTGCATGGGGGAGAGCCTTCCAGCTGCATTCAGCCATTCACCAGCTGCACAGCAGCGTGCAGGACATGAGTGCCAGGCTCTGCAAAACACAGATGGGAAACCTGAATGGTTATCACCTCTGCAGAAGAGCCACACTGATGGGAAGATTGCAGACTGGCTGTCTGCTCAGCCAGGAGCCTAACCTTGGAGATGCAGAGCTGCTAAATCAAGGCAAAGCCTCCCTGTAAGAGTGATCACACAGGTTAGCAAAAGAATTAGCGTTGTACTGTGTAGTAAGAAAAATGGTTTGTAGGAGCAGACAAGCATTTCTTGAGATGCATTAACTCAAGCAATGACCCTGTGGAGCAGCCAAGGCTGAGGAGCAGCCATGTGGGAGCAAAGCTGTGGCAGATCCATGCCTGGGCAGCTGCACTGCAGCAGGTTAAACAGTTTTGCGCTCCATCAAGCATCAGAACTGACTACCAGGCTTGTTATTCCTCAGCCTGCTCCAGCCACACATCACATAACCAATGGAGCATGGCTGTCCATCCAAGCACACTGAGCCCACTTCAGCTGCTACATCTCAGCTGCAGCGTAACAGGCAGCAGGAAGGAGTGGGAGCTTCTTAACCTCCAAGGAATGCATGCTTCCCAGAGCATCCAAACAGCTCCAAGTCAAGCTGAGACACCAATAACTGGCAGCACTCTTCAGTTTCTCTTCCCTCAGAAGTAAAATGAGTGTTTGCATAACCTGTTTGAGTAATAGGAGAATAGAGCCTCCTCATGCTGTGCTGACTGAGCAATGGCATGGAGCAGCAGAAAGCACAGGTTGCATCAGTGGGAATTATGGTTTGCAAAGTAATTACCGATGATAACTGCGGTCTACCAGGGTTGTAACACCATTAAGAGTAGCTGGTGCACAGGAAAGTGATGAAGTGAAGCTGAGCAAGTGAAGTGTTAGGAGTTGTCAAGATCTGTCAGACCACCTGCAGACCCACAGTGTGTCAGCGCTAACTAAAGAGGCAAGATATTTTT